CCCTGAAGCAAGGGTGAAAAACCGACAGTCCCATGGGACATGACACCGAGTTTTGAATTCAATGACATTCATTTACTCCGGACCGTGCCGGACTGGGTGCATGTAAACCTGACAGATCGCGGGCGCCACCAGTCCATATGCAGTCTCAATGCCTCCACGCTCTTTGATATCGCCGGATTATCGATCAGACGTGTTGCTCTTATATGTCTGTCCTTGGTAGCTGGGTTTGACACCGGTACTACCCCCCATCATGTCCAGAATGTGAGCTTGCACCCATGTTGCCAAACACTTACTGATCATTGGAATCCCCCAGCATATATATTCACAGTAATTGTCCTTCCGTCGAACTGCAAGCTATCGTTGGGCTGACTATTGACAAACACCAGATATACGTGTCCGAGCTCCGATCGACCCACATCTCGATCTTCCAGCGGGCATGAAGATGTTTGCTCAACTCATCGGCAATGGGATCATCCTCAAGCAAACTGTACCGACGTACAGGGAGGATAATCAGGATGCACCAATGTGGAAGTTCAAATTTGACTGTGAAGTGTATGTGTTTCGCCTCAATTACCGATACCACATGGTTGAAGATTCCCAGCCCTCCCCACATGCTTACCTTCACGATAGCAGTTGTGCGGAAATATCAGGGCACCCGGCTGCTCGGTTCCTTCAAGATTATACGGGGTGAAGCTCTGACATTTGGTGAAGAGCGAAAACGTGTGTTCAATATGTGCACGAGCATTTAGAGTGCTTACTGTCATAAAGCCTTGCGCTCGTTACTCGTAAAAGTGAACCCGGACGGCCCGTTACTCAACTTGACTGTGGCATTATCCATATCAACATTGACACAAGAGCCACTGGGCCTACACGGAATCAACATACAAGGACTTCAAGGTGAAGTTCAGTTCAACGGATATAATCATCTGAGATTGAATCTCCATTACAGTTGGTTCCATCAGTCATCTAGACATAGCCATGGACTTGCAGCTGCTTTCTGATTCAACAACACAATTGGATCCACAAGATCTCTGGGCCATGCATGAGAGAGTTCTACTCTCTCCAATGAGCACCCTCCGGAGCAAAATTTTGAACACACTTGGAGATATCTGCATAAAACAGTGGAAAATATCTCATGTGGTGGATGTGCTCAACCAAGCTGTCCTCGCATATAGTGACGCAGTGCGGGATGATCCCACAGACACAACACTTCTGGGTGATCTGGGCACTGCACTTGTATACCGAGTGGACCGCTTGGATGATACCGGGGATCTTAACAAGAGTATCCGAGTTCTGCGGGATGCTGTTGATTTCACTCCAGATGGCCACCCAGCCAAGCCAGATATGCTCAGAACTCTGGGTTATGCATTATGTGCTCGGTTTGAGCACCTCGGCAACATACAGGATCTCGATGACTCTGTATCAATAGGGGACAATGCTGTCCAACTACTCGCTGATGGCCATCCTGTCAAGCCTTATGCACTTAGAACTATTGCAGGATCTCTGCGCACTCGGTTTGAGAGGTTTGGTGATCTCGCAGATCTCAACAAGTCTGTATCGATGGCAGCGGATGCTGCACAACAAATGGAAGATGACAACCCTGATAAACCACACATGCTGAGCACTCTTGGGAACTCACTTGTATGGCGGTTCAAAAGGTTTGGAAGCTTGGACGATCTCAACCAGTCCATTTTGTACCGAGAGGATGCTGTGCGCTTAATACCAAATGGTGATATGATCAAACCATTGTTTATGGACCATCTTGGAAACTCCCTTTTGCTTCGTTTTGAGCGCCTTGGCAATATGGACGACCTTGACAGATCTGTGCTACTCAGAGTTGATGCTCTCCACCAAACTCCAGATGGAGACCCAGTAAGATCAGCCATCTTGCACAATCTTGGGCACTGTTTATGCACTCGGTTTGAGCACACAGGTGACACGGACAATATCAACAAGTCTGTGTCAATGATGAGGGAGGCAGTCGATTTGACACCCCATGGCCGTCCACAGAGGCCATCTATGTTGAACAGTCTTGGGAACTCCTTGCGCACTCGGTTCGAAAACAGTGGTGCCCTGGATGACATCAATGAATGTGTCAAGCTTCAAACAGAAGCTGTTCACTTGACCCCAGATAATGACCCAGAGAGAACCTTGTGGTTGAAAAATCTGGGAAATGCACTTGCACTTCGTTTTGAGAGATTTGGTGATCTGTCCGATCTTGAGAGATCTCTGTCCTTCCGTGAAAATTCGGTAGATCTGACGCCTGACAATCACCCAGACAAACCATCACGGATAACCAATCTTGGAGCCTCTTATCTTCGACGATTTGAACGGCTTGGTCACTTGGCTGATCTCAATAAGGCAGTCTCACTCGGATGGGATGCTGTCCACCTGGCTCCAGATGACCATCCTGGGAAGGCTGCCATGTGGAATAATCTTGGTGGCTTCCTTTCAAGTCGCTTTTCACGACTCAAAAGTTTAGATGATCTCAACATGTCAGTGTCTATCAAGCAAGATGCTGTCCGGTTGATGCCAGATGGTCACCCATATAAGCCTTTGTTATTGAGCAATCTTGGTAGTTCCTTCTTCCGACGCTTTAGGGAGTTTGGAACTTTGGATGATCTCAAGCAATCTGTGTCAGTAAACAAGGAAGCTGTTCACTTAACTCCAGATGGGCACCCAAACAAACCATTGATGATGATCAATCTTGCCCAATCTTTAGTTCAGTGCTTTAAGCAATCAAATGACCATGCAACAATGAAACAAGCAATCAATCTCTTCGCATTGGCGGCTTCCTCATCCACAGGTGCTGCTCACTTCCGATTTAAGGCTGCATCAATGTGGGCAGACCTCGCAAAGCTTGCAGAGCCATCATCAGTGATGGCTGCCTACCAGACTGCATTGGACATACTACCCGAACTAGCATGGCTTGGTTTGTCCATCAGTGACCGTCATCACCACCTCTGGGACGCTGGGCAAGTTGTCAGAGATGCAGCTGCTACTGCCATTGAGCATGATAAGGCTGAATTGGCAGTGGAGTGGCTAGAACAGGGTCGCTCTGTGATATGGACTCAATTCCTCAACTTACGTTCACCGGTGGATATACTTAAAACAAGCCATCCCAAGCTTGCAGACCGTCTCGTTTACCTCTCTGCACAATTGGAAGTTTCTGGAAGTCGTAATGATCATTTGGAGACTCCCTCAAGACCCCAGGAATCACTGCAATCCATAGCAGATCGAGCCCACCAAAATGCTCACCACCGAACAGAACTCTTGAAGCAAATCCGGGAGCTAGATGGCTTGTCTCGCTTTTTGCTACCAAAAAGGCTGTCAGAGCTTTCGGAAGCTGCTGCGCACGGACCAGTTGCCATATTGAATGTTGGGAATGATAAATGTGATGCTCTGGTACTTATTCCTGGTCTTGATGATGATGTTGTGCACATTCCGCTCAGACAGTTCACACCCCAAGATGCTGGCAGTCTAGCTCAAAGTCTCAGTCACCTTGTGGGCAGGGGTGACAGAATGAAAGGAAAACGAGAGGGCCAACCTGATCCCGAGGATGCACTAGAACAAAGTCTGGCAAAGATCTGGGTAGACATTGTTAAGCCGGTGCTTGATGGCCTTGCAATTAATGTGAGTGAGCTTGACGAAAGATACACATGATCTCAAGGATTCTCAACAACATTGCAGACTCCTAGGAAAATCAATTTCCCACGTATCTGGTGGTGCCCAACTGGCCCCCTCGCATTTCTGCCGATCCATGCTGCAGGTCACTATTCTACAAACAATGCATTTGGGTCAAAGCTGTCTGACTTTATGATTTCATCATACATCCCATCTTTGACCGCACTCATTGAGGGATTCCGAGCTCCCTCCAAGACTCAACCAAAGTTACAACTGCTTGCTGTTGCTCAGCCATCTGCCACTGGTCAGACCTACATTCCCGGGACCCAGAAAGAAATCACATGTATCCAGGAGGCTGCAAAGGGAAAGCTGCCTGTCCTGCGGTTGGATAAGAATATGGCAACTGTGGATGCTGTTCAGCAAGGAATGAAGCAATCCAAATGGGTACACTTTGCCTGCCACGGTATACAGAATAAATCTCATCCCACTGAGAGTGCACTTTTGCTTGCTGGCAGCTCTCACCTGACTCTTTCTGACATCATTAAACTGGCTCTTCCACATGCTGATCTTGCATTTCTTTCTGCATGCCACACTGCTACTGGAGACAAGAGTCTTGAGGAAGAGTCTGTTCATCTTGCTGCAGGGATGCTTTTAGCAGGTTATCGAGGTGTAATTGCAACTATGTGGACCATTACAGACAATGATGCTCCACATGTTGCAAGTGATGTCTATGAACATCTCTTCAGAATATCACCACCAGACCACACACAAGCTGCAGAGGCCTTGCATCTGGCCATTCAGAAGCTTCGTCAAGGAACAAAATCCTTTTTGCGCTGGGTCCCCTTTGTTCATATGGGTGTTTGATACATGATTGAATCACCTTCTGTCTGAATCATCATCATGATTCAGCGATGCTTGTAATTAGCCTCAGATGGGTGCCTGCTCCCCTTCGATTCAGTTGTACTATCACTGACTTTAAGCAACAATCTGTTCTCTTCTGTGCCTTGTTCTTGTGCTTTTTTGATTGGCAAGGTGAATATGAGTTTAGATCTTCGTTGTGTCCTGGTCTTCCAACTGTAAGGTGGGGGAATAAGAACTTGAGGTGCTTTACATCGAATGGCTAAATCCATTCGCCGGCAGTGTGTTTTTGTGTTATAAAATCAATGTGTTTTGTGGAATGTAAGGTCTATTAAAGTATAATTGTTGCTGAACATATGTATAGGATATGGACGGTCAAGACTTGAGTTTCTCAGCCCTCTGCACACAATGCATAGAAATAGGCAACGCAATCAGTTTGGGCGGCAGTTGTGCATTTTCCCGGTGGTTCAATTTGGGTCCCTCTCCAACATGTATGCTTCTCCTTGGCACACTACGCATCCGAATTGGTGTAGGGGTTAACATTGCCGCTTCTCAGAATTACGTAATCTTAATAGGCCACGTACAGCTTGCGCGGCAGCCCGGGGTTCGATTCCCCGATTCGGAATTTTGGCAAGAGGAGGGACCCCCATCTTTTTTTCGCCGTCCCTTACAGGCCTATAGTACGTACATATGTGAGCAGGTGCAATTACCTTGGGCCAACTTGAAGCCGGACATAACTGTATGTTAATGCTCAGCACCTCATTCCTTTAACGTATTCTTGAGAGAGAATGTAAGTAACACCAAGGCTCGAGAGCCCATATGATTCGAGCCCGTGAAACCGTCGAAACCTCCATGGAGAACCCCCTCGGTGTTGGATCTGACTGCCATTGCGGCAATCCGGGGAAGAATCGCTGTTCCAAATGCAAAGAGGGTGAGCTAGTCCTACCAACCGGTACCGCACATTATATTGAACTGCAGGAAACTAGCATTATGGTACTGCTCGCAGGTTTGCCAGAAGCGTGGAACCTATCAGTGCCTTCTTTGATCGCGGAGTCTCCGCAGGCGACTCCTTGCAGGAAACTGGAGCACCCACAAGAATTTGTGTCCATTGTTCAAAGCGGCAGACATTACTGTCACTTCCTCGATTCCTGGTTCTGACGCCGCCTGGGTTGACACCTTCCTTCTCTCCGCACTCTTCCCTCACCTGCTGCACTTTGGCACGGCGGCCCAAAACACAGCCTTGCTGAATCCTTTCACAAGCCCAGTTCTCTTTTAGACCGGGGAAATGCGGATGAACGCGGCCACAGTCATTTTCGGCCACGGGGAGCCGAACAAGTATCTCATAGCGCAGCTCATCCACCGTTGTGTCGGCTGGGCACCACGAACGTACAATAACCTCGAAGCACTCATCGCCTGTATCGCGTACCCGATCCAGAAAAGCTGGCCCGACGTCGCAGGAACCGCTATCCTGGACGCAGCGTTTGCTGCCTACCTCCTCGCAGTTGCTAAGGACATACGCTACGATTGGATTTTCAAGGTGTCCCCGATGTTCAGTAATGAAGGCAGAAAGATAACCGTGCACCCTTATTCGCAGATCGCCGAGACATCTCCCGCGGCGTGCAAGCATTTCCTCCCCGCCGTCATCTCAATGTGCACAAAGGGGCAGCTTCAGAATCCCGGAGTCGAGCTCCTCCGCCTGTTCGAGGCGCTCGGAGTGACCGATCCGACCTGCTGCTGTTCATCATGGCGCTGGGCAGTCGCAGGCTCGCAGCCCAGACATCGACAACGAACACATGCTGAAAGTGCAACAGCTAAGTACTGATGCGCCGCTAGCAATAGAGGCGAAGATGTGCTCCAAAGAACAACTCGTTGATCTGATGATGGCTCTGGTGGAGAGGTTGGGGTATCCACCCATTCTTATTCTGTGATATCTGGACGGTGGTGACAGCTTTGATTCTTGGATCGTGGTTAGCATAGATGTTGTTTCTTGCTTCACCTGACACTTATGACAATGGCCTGTCTCTGTCCGCTGGAGTGGTCAAGTTGTTTGAAGTTTCAAAAAAAATCAAAGCCGAGCCTGAACGACAAATCTCATCACTGAAATTGGAGACGGCAAAAAAAGCGATGGATTTGTGGCGCACAATAAAACGAGAGAGATACAGAACAGGATCTGGCAGGTAACAAATTAGCAGACGTCTTGGGGAGAAATTCAAACTAGGACTCACGCAATCCCTGGAGGGCTTCCGCCTTCATTTTTTTCAGATCTTTCCACGGGGGAAGTCCGAAGAGCTCGGGGAGTTCGTCCCAGAGAGCTTGCTTGGCTGCTCGGTGGTTGGCTCTCATGGAGGACAGACAGGCTTTACAAACATCGAGATCGTCCCAATCCTGTTGCGTCCATATGTCCAGAGGCATTGTTGCGGCGTTGCCAGATGAACGCTCCCTGCATTCCTCCGCCCCTTGGCGCAACGCAAACCTCGATTTCCTGCATTCCTGCTGACTAATCGCATCGCAGTTGTGATCACTGGATGGCCACAGAAAGGCGAGTACCTTGCTCACGGCGGAGCCCTCCAATATGCGACAATTAGTGATTATACGGACTTTGTCGTCCAGATCGAGAGGTGCGGTGAGAATCGTGGATTCGAATGTGAACTGGCAAATACGGTAGAAGGCAACGGGAAGGATCCAATCAATGGAAAGATTCCGAGCCAATACAGCGATATCGACGAAGCTAAGTTCGAGCTCCGGGTCTTGGAGCTCATTCACCAAACGAGTTGGCGTAACAGTCAAGGCGTCGTATCCTGCAAGCGTGGTTGGGTGAAAAGAAGCGAGGTGGGTCAAGGAGCGCTTCCTTAAAGCGTCGACGTCGTATTTGTAGCTCATTCGAAGGATAGCTGTCAGGATGGGGAGTGTGGTCGGGGCCGGGTATGCTTCGAAGAAACTGACAGAGTTATATCACGAGTGGCACGGAGGTAACAGGCTACTTACTCGCAGTAGAACAATGCTTTGAGCAAAATATGCACGTCCTCTGCACTGTCTTGCAGAACGACAAACGGGCATCCATCCATCATATCCGCGTGCTTTGGTTGGGGCAGGGAGCTCATATCGCGGAAGACTGGGGAATGCACTCCCAAGAGGTCGCCAGAGACTCGAAAGAGGGTACTCTCCGCCTGTATGATGAGCCCGCAATCCTGGAACCACAGTCCCTCGGCACGTGTGAGTGGCGGGCTCGAAGGAAGGTCAGTGGAGGAGCGTGTATCAATATCCATGTGTAGAGCGGAATCCAGACTTTTGGGCCTGAGTGGTATTGCGGCGCGAAGAATGGACGGGAGTCTGAGAAAAGAAGGCTCGGTGGCTATGCTGATGATTGTCCATGCTTACATCCGGCGCCGCGCGGCATCAGGTGACGATATTTCAACGAACACACACACAGAAAACGGTGGTTGAGAGGGATATTGCGCTTCATGTACGAAGAAGTCTCTGGAACGCTTCAATATTTCAACAGTACCCACAACTCAGGTGCCATGATTCTCGAACTGTTCTGTTTTGGTTCTGTTTAGGGCTCCAACCATTTCGTTTTCGTTTACGCTTCCGGCTAAACTAAACGGAAACGGAAACAAACGATTAAAAAACCGTTTAAACCATTTTTAGACGGTTGTTTTTGACTTGAATATTAACGGTCTCTGCCCTTTTTGGTTGCACTTACCAGTAATACAGGTATCATTCCTGGAGGTCCAGAAGCAGTGCTGGGATTTGTCGTGGCCAGAAACAACAAGGTGGAAATGACCGAGCGCGCCCAAACACCGCCATCACCCACGGAGATACTTCCAAATACGGAAGCCTCCCCGCCGTTCGAGCCAGTCAGGGAGTCGGGGCAACCACTGCAGCTTTTGAACACATCAAACTGCCTGCAATACTCTCAATGGGACTTCAAAATGCCTCACAGAGTCCAGTGAAGGGCAAACAGCAGGCTTGAATTTGTAACAACCGTTTAACCGTATATAAACTGTTTATCTACTGTTTACAGGGGTCCGTAAATTAAACGAAAATATATACGGTTTTAACTGTTTTAAACGTTTAAAAACGGAAACGGTTGGAGCCTTAGAACTTCTGTTAAACAATATCAGTGGACGTGAGGTTTACGGGGGCTCGATTAATGTGGTGTGACTCCACAGGTTCATAATCTATGCAAATCGCTAAATAAAACGTCCAATCCCCTGATCCTGAAGATCGAACCAGCCTAGAAGAAGATATTATCAATCATGAATTGCATCCCGTCTTGGCGGAAAGTCTACACGACGCGTTAGCTGGATACTCGCGGCCAGACGTTAACATGATGATGAGACGTACATCGTCCTCGACCACGCTACCCTGCGTCTGCCAGACAATATTCTGCGCGCCGTCCGAGTACTTCGGCCAAGTGATCTTAGTCGTCACTTTGCATAACGATTCAGTAAGATGCACATTAGGCCAAGAGTTTGGTTTGACCGACCATTGGCATTGTTGGGGTCCCCGGTTGCCGCAAAACTGGCCCAAGAACGGCTCATGTACACGCCCAGAGCTCTATCGGCGGTTGGCGCCCCCGGGCCGAGGTACGTCGCAGTAGCGTGGTTGGTTATCCAGAAATCGGTGCTGCTGCGATTTGAGCACGGAACTATCACGTCGCAGCTGAAACGAACCCGTCATTCTGGGTATTGAAAGTGTACGCCAGCTCCGTGAAGTGTCCCACATAATCTTCAACGCCGTAGGAAACGGTGTATGGCTTGTGGTTGAACCTAGAGGTTTATCCCCACCTATTAGTTGTCGGCCCGGCCATTCAAAGTATCACCAACCTGTACTTGTAAAACGGCACCTCAGGCGAGGCCACTTGGGCAAGCGCGCGTGCCCCTCTGGTCACTGTTACGATACGCGTATCTGCAACTATAAAAGATGCTCACGCGTGCATAAAAACGTCACCGACGATGGCGCCGACACGTTTATTCGCCGCTCCGGGTGTATTGAAAAGCCCAAGCTGCAGCGGGTCCAGCTGGAAGGCGCCCGTGTTGAAGGGGCACCCCCATGCGGGATCATCGGAGTATCGGTCCAGCACACCCGCTATCTGAGCCGGCGGGATATAGTTGGCGATGAATACTTCGACATCCGAAGTGGTGTTCGCGCCGCTGGGTGCGAAGCTCTGCCCTTCGTCAGTGTTGCTACCAACCTACGCGAGAAGATAAACGATAGACACTGATGTAAAACGAAAAAAAAACGTACAAGCAAGGGAACCCTTGTCCAATTTCCCGCGCGGATGGCTGCCAAAGGGCTGGGAACGTCCACGATATCGCCGTCGAATACTGGCTGTATGAGACCGAGAGAGACTTGGCGAAACTCGTCGATGGGCAGGGCCCGTATGCAGGCAAGTTGGACAGACGTCGAGGAGTTTGCGGTGGCAGAGCAGTTCGTGTTCGCAATAATCGAGTCGTATGTGGACTGGAATGCGGGGTCCGTCGGATGGCTATAGCTCACTCCAATGGTACCGCTCTCGACAACGGCACGCGTGAATAATTTGTCGTCTCGTCCGGAATATGCGGTGATGTGCGCAAGGATGCTGAAACCACCGGCCTGCGTGAAGAAACAGTCAATCTTGCG